GTAATAAAGTAGGTGGCGAATTGGTGGTTCGTAGTTTATGACAGTGGCTGTCATCCGCCATGATCAATATAGCATGCTTAATCAATACGCTTAGTTGACTTTTGTTGCCATTTATTTTTGAGTTCTTTTTTGCTATTTAGAAAGGCTGTTCTCTCTCCGTGGTCTTTGTCGTATTCGTTGGTAGGTCACTGTCACAAATGCGGCGCAGTAAAAAAATTTCATCTGTATTCAGCAGAATAGTCTCCTCGTGCAGAAGTTTTGTAATATGTGCTGTTGGACACCTTGCACTGCGTTGTTGTACGACGATAACTCTCTCATTTACTGTAATACGGCACGAAGCTTTTGCGTTCCACATGATGCTCTTGATTATTAGTGAATAGATCAATTAACTGATGAGCTGAACTTCGGCAGCAGTATTAAAGATTAAGAGTTTTTTGGGATTGCCGTCTATTCAATCATCCACTTATCTCTGCACAAACTCTCTCCGCCAATGATCGTTCATGAGTGAATTATGAAACAATTCTTTTTTTGACAATCAGTCAAATATATTTTGCAGTTATATCGATAGAGATTGATTTATTATCTCTTCTCATTTTACCCATGATGCTCAGTTATTTCACATATAATTATGCTGGTTTTCTTCAGTCATTACATATTAGTTTCATCTTTGTCTTCTGGGACTATATTTCATATATGAAGTCTCATGCCAGTTCTCGACCTTCCATGAATATAGCTTTGGTAAAAAAATTTGTTTAGCTTTCTTTCGTTTGACATTAATATAATGGTGATCGTTGTTAGTCTCTCTGCATGCAGACTAACCGTCCTTCACTTAACTATATTTTGTGTGAGGATAAGGAAATCCGACACCTTATTACAGCTTTTTAGTCATAAACAGGGGTTCACAGTGATCTTTCGCTACTGATGTAGTGGTTGTGAAGGTGTTCTGTTCTGTATTCTTCCTTATTTTACCAGCTACTCATTCTTTTCCGTACGATCACCAAGAGGATTTTATGTAAATCTAATTTAGTGTAATCAGATCATAGGAATAGCTGATATTTCTTCATGAATTTGCAACTCGGTTTCAATTGAACGCCAAACAATAGCAATTAGTATCATTATAAGTTGGATAGGCATAACGGCCATTATGTCATAGGGGCACGTACTGGAATTCTCACTTCTCGATTACTTTATATTTTAAATTACTGATCCCGGATTTACAGGGCGAAAACGATATAGTCTTTCGCTGTATATCGATATTGAGACACTACAAGACGAGCGAATGTCATTACACCGGGTTATGACGCAGCAGTGCTTCGCTCTTAGCTTCTAATCGCTTAAGGGATTGCCTTGCCTTAGCCTGCTACTATTCCGTCATATTTAAAGCTTGCAAAGCATCGGATGCATGATCGCATCTATGAATTGGGCTGAACACAAACTTGTTTAGCCCCAAAAATATTTTGATTTCTTTACTTGTTCTATTGCAGGGGAGGTTAAAACGCTGATGAAGCAGCTTTTGAACGGCGTTCACCATTTGCATGACAATTGGATTTTGCACAGAGATTTGAAGACGTCTAATCTCTTGCTCAGCCATCGTGGGATCCTCAAGGTTTGTGTTTTATTAGGTTGTCGGCTGGCTGACTTCGTTTAACTCATAGTTTTACAGATAGGTGATTTTGGGTTGGCGCGAGAATACGGTTCACCCTTGAAACCATATACGCCAGTGGTTGTAACGCTTTGGTATCGAGCGGCTGAGCTACTTCTTGGCATAAAGGTAATTAAGGTTTCATGTATTTATATTTTGTTCTTCCTCGACACAATAATCATTTTTCTTCTATAACGTTTCAAATTAGGCGTAGATGGACATTGTGTGTTCAAGCCTGCATGTTGTGCTGAAAGGACAACAGATGGAATGTTACAATGAACTTACTGTTTGTATACTTATGTTCGATGATTTGATCATCTCCCACACCTCGTTAAAAGCCTTTGTGATAGTGGTAACTTTTGAAGCGAACCCGAATGGACCGCAGTCTTTTTTTAGGCCCAAAACGAAACCAGCTACAGTGTACATACAACATACAATGGACACCTCAATAGTACGGTGAAACCTCATTAAATTTACGAGATGACTGCCTCTTGAACAATAATGCAGTTACATAATGACATAGAAAAATAATTTGCATTACCTTGGCATAGAATTCAATCCCAGTAAGTACATTTCCAAGTTCAACACAAAATTATATTTTGCTCTTAAAGTAAACAGTAAAAATGTTAACTTCTGGCTATTATCAGCTATGCACTAAATGGATAATATTAAAGAATCAGTAAAATGACAATATCAGTCACATGAGAAAAGCAGCTTATTTAAAATGAAAGTTTTTCGGCGATGCTCAAAGATTAGTATGTGCTCTGTGCGGTGCCTTTCTGTACGAATTAGATATTACTTTATAAGTAACAGTATTTGCAATATAAATAACTGAATGATATTTCGAATAAACTTTATACATTGCACTTCAGATATCAAAAGCTCGCGTAAAACAATGAGAGGTCAATTTGAATGTTTCGGAGAGACAAACTCTTGAAAGTCGGTAGTCCGTTAAGAGTGCAGTTGACCCAGCGTCTAAGTAAATATTTTGTATGG